CATCTCGAACTCCTTCTCGGACTCCATCTTGGACTTCATCTCAAACTCCTTTTCGAACTCCTTCTTGGACTCCATCTCAGACTCCTTCTCGGACACTTCCATGTGTCATGTATTGGTCCTCTTATGTCCCTTTTCGAGAGACTCACTTATTGCTCAATTCTTGCTTGTTCCTCGAGCACTTCGTTGGGAGTTCCACTCCCACTAGGAAGTCCAAGGCTAGAGTGAATATGGACTAACAAGCAAGGTAGCTTGATGAAGTGTTTAAGAGTCGGCTCGAATGGTCGATGCTCCCAGTCCAAATGTGGGAGGCACTACCTACTTGAATATCTGGCATGGCTCAATAGAACCTTGCTCTACCCCCATGGCTAGAGCACCTAAAGGCGGAAGGTGGGGAGAGTACCCATGAGGCCCGCATAGGGCCACAGTATTCCAAAATGTTGTCCCAGAGTCCCGGATGGTGGAAAGGAAGAAGAATAGTCCTCTAGCGTAGTGACCCAGGATGCAGTTACATGGTGAAGAAGTCCCAAAGAACAAGGAGATTTAGTGGTCAGGTCTATGGGCCTTGATCTAGTGGCAGTGTTGGCAAACACAGCTATGAACAAAAAGGGAGTTGGGGACAGAAAAAGGATATTGGGGAAGGCTATTCCCCATGTCTACAGGCATCTTAAGGATGTTAAGGAGTGGATTTGGGATGACCACTTATAAAAAAATGATCCAATCTTTGAAAGATGGGATTGTGATGTAAGCGGTGTTGGATCATTAGTGTGATAAAGGTGGCCTTAGTGTAACGGGCTGATATGTTAATGGTACCTTTGGATGTTAGTCATGGGATTAAACACATGAAACACTTGGACCAAATGCAAAGGCTAAGTGGCATAGATGCTATTCACGGGGCTAACAAGTCCCCAAGTCCAAAATAGAACTTATGAAGGTTGTGAGTGAGACTCCTTCAAGTGGTCGGAAATGTGGTTAAGTGACTAAAGTAGAATGGAAAATTTAGTCACTTACATACTGGTAAATTTTTTATCTCAATCTGAGATAATTTCTTCTAGTCTTCCCCTTTTTCAAAGAATAGATTTGCCACATCACTTGGGGGGGGGGGGGGGGGGGGGGG